AATAAAGCACTAAATGACATTCTACGATGTTTAATGTAATGACTATCTGTTAAGAAATCCGCCTCTCACTACGGACAAAAATGTCTCATGATAAATCCAAGTGAGATGTACACACAATAGATCGTATTTAGGTTGTGAGCACATGTTACGAAAAATTTATATATTCTTGTGGATGATATAGTGTGTTCTCAGTTGTCTTGGTCCTCACTAAATATTTTATATCTTCTCTTGAGGACATGAGTCTTATATGTGGTTCAGTTATATTATTATTTTGCTTTAGGAAGTATGATATAAAAGAATATGTTTTGAACCTTATATAGGTTACATTACTATAATGAAAAGGGTATTTCCTCACGTTTTTCTCAGCTTTACATTGAGTAAAGTTCACCACGCGTAGCTTCTTGTTGAATGTTGAAGGAATGTTGAAGACGTCTGTATGGCCACAGTTTATCCCTTCACCCGACTTATACTTAAACTTTCACTCACACGGGAAATAGAACTCATGGCCACTGAATAATAATATGAACAAACATTTATTTAGAGTCTTAAATTCACACATGCCTATTATATAATAATGAAGAATTGTCTACACTTTACTATTTTACCTAGAATGCTGTTAAGGTATTTATGTATTAGTTAATTGGAACACGGTGGTGCTTTTGTGAAATATAACATAGCAGTTTATACCTCGCAATCGGTCACTAGTCATTAAAATATACTAAGAAATGCCGTGGCAGAGACAACTAGAACATTCATTCCATTCTTAATTGATCGAAAGTATCTTAGTTTTTCCAAATATTCTAAGAAAAGGTAATAAAAATGACTATAATAATTTGTGAATTTTCTGTACCTTAACTAAATAATAGTACTAAAACAGTTATGTTGAATGTTACTTAAAACATTATGTAACTAACATTTATAACTATATACTTTTTGTATTTGAAATGTGTCGAAGGCTCTCTTATATATTATTAAGAGGGGAGGGACGTAGGGGTGGTCTTTTTGAAAAATTCAAGATCTTAAACCTCGCCCCTGCAAGACGCGATGAAAGTATGGAATTAAAATTCTTATTTGTGCTACTATTTTCTGGTTGGAGACGAAAGTTTAAGAAAACGTTCATGAACTACATGTTTTAATTTATAAAACTTCTCCCTTGACCTGATACTTTTGAAACATACGACCTGTAAATAAGTTCCTCTGCAAAACTTTTAAATTTCAATCTTTTACGCTCTATGTAATCAAATGTTGAAAAAATATCTTAAGCGTATTCTATAATAATTACATTTTTGTACTTATAACGATAGAGTTGGTTGCGAATATTAAAATATATGTTTCTGTAGCAAAATTGACACCTATTAAAAGGGTTCTTAAACTGCATGCTACAAAGACATCAAAGGATTAAAATTCTAAGTAAAAAATGATAGCGTGATGCAACACGAAGCAGAGTATGATTATAAGCAGCCGGCCGGATCAGCTTCCTCTCGTTAGTGAAGTGTACATATTGCTAAATCTTGTAAAAAATATTCATATATATTGTGATAACAAACGTAAAATATAATATTATACAATATTTATTATAAACTCTGCCAAAATTGCAGTTGCATAACCAAGTTTGACAATCATATTAGAAAGTATTTGGTATTTCCAAGAAATAATTAAAATATTTCGCAATATAATAGCGTAAAGTAATCGTGAGCATCTTTAACCTCGAGAACCTGAGGTCACTTTCACTTATACGTTTAAATAGTAAGTAAATGTTATAGAAACTGCCGGTGACATCACAGGGATTACGTCAAAGGATCATAACCAGCAAATTTTATTTTACCGTGACACATGTCATGCTTGCGCAACGTCCATGCAAAACAAGATATATGTAAAAAACAAAAATCTTATCTAAACAATATGCAATAACAATTTTTAAAATTTTGCATATAAAATTTTAATTGTTATATGATATATATTTTTTAAAAACAACGATTAACATTATTAGATTATTTAATTATCAAGGTGATTTATTTCCTATATTGCATGTTGGTAATTGATTGTGTTCTTATCGTTTGGTAATTCTGGTAATGATAAAAGGAGTCTTGTAAATCCATACCGTAGTGGTCGCGATTGAGAAACGTGCTTTACCGGACATTTATGCGGAAGCACGATTAATATTCGGACCCCATTACGTTATTTCCTTAATCCTCATACGGTATGTCCGTACATTTGCTCAGTTCCTATTAAAATATTTTCAATGTTGTTATGGGCTTTTATATATAATAAAAAAAACTCCAAGCATTAGTGATATTCGTTACGATGAATGTTTTTTACGGATGAAATAGAAATATGATATTTGTATTTTGTTTTAGTTTTATAAGTAAAAATAATCCTTTAACTCGTCAGACTATTATAAAGCGGTTATTTAATTCAGGTTTCATTGTAGTTGATACGTGATCTCCTGAGCCAGTTTAATTTAGTTGAGCGCGGAACTTAGTGTTCAGTATTATTATCATAATTATACAAAGTCATTATTACGGAACATGTAAAATGAGGGATTATTAATTTTTTTTTTATTTAAAGGAATACCATTTTTCTTTTTAATTTATAATAAAATTATGCGACGTGAGTGACTGATCATAAAACTCAAATAAGATATAAATGTCACTTGTCGCGTAAGATTCTCGATCCTTTAAGATTATATTTACGGCTCTTGTTTAAGGAAATAAAAAGTAAGACTATTTCAGTATCCTTTAAAGGTCAATAATAATTATAATCTTTCACTGGTAAATATTAAAAACAGTGTTTTGTTTATTTTACTTTGTCATTTACTGATTGGGTTGTTAAATGTGTTACCTAAGTTATATTTCTGGAATATAATAGCTTAGGTATTATTATGCACATAGAGATTTTAAAATCATATCCCTATGCACACCAAATTTTACGAGAGAGTGAATAAATTGAATTGTAAAGCATTTTAAGAACTCCAAACGATCGATGAGGCCGCTTCCATAGACATAGCAGACAATGGTTTCTCTTTGCTTTCTATTGAAAGTAACTTTCACGTGGTCCTGCAGTCACGGGTCAGATGCGTTCGAGTTTATCAAGACATTATATAATACATAAAAATATTATTTGAAGTAGAGATGAGAAAAACTCTAAGAATTTTAAACTTTTTATATTATGGTACTATATTCTTTTAACACTTACACTTGTATGTAATATCTATCTCTCAAGTTTTAATTTCCATTATCGGCCTTTAAAATGTAATTTTGTCGTTTGATGAATAAGGAGCTTTTAGATGTTTCCAAGTTGACACAGCAAAAAATAATAAACCAGACAGATCGTTTACATTAAAACCGAACCTAATCCATTACGAAATTAGTAACGACGAGTCTGCTATTTTACATTTTTATGTATAATTTATATGTAGATATATTGTGAAGTTTAAATTTAATTTGAAGTGAAGCGCACGTTACGTTTTCTTTATTTAATTTATTTATTTTCTCTGTCCAAAGATCGTGCTATTTCAAAATGCAATTTTTGAAAGGGTAAAATTTAATCAGATAAGTGAATAATCAGTTTAATCAACTAATTTGTTTGTTATTTTGTTTTATATCTTTAAAAGAGATCTTTTAAGAAATTGTAAACATACTGAACGAATTACGAATAAAGTTGTTATTATAATTATAGTTTAGCACATATAGTTTAGCACATAACATAAATTAAACATAAAACAACAACATTATGTAATTAGTAATGTACAATAAAATAAATAACCTATGTTTTAAAGTTACTGGAGACAAAAACTAGACCCACTGATTTGGTTATGTTTTTTATACATTCATATATGTATAATGAAGCATAATTTTGTATACACACCATACATACTTTTTCTACATTTTATTCCGTATTTAATTTATATTGTCATCGTGTACAGTAAAGTATATAAAGGTACTTTATGTTCTACTCTTAATTACATATGCCAAAATATTTTTGTTCTTTGTGAAACAAATATTAAAACTGAAACCACGAATTTCTTTTAAATATATAGTGAAAACATCTAAATAGTTGAATACTAAAGTTGAATGATTTTTTAGGTTAGGTAATGATTTAGGATTCTTTCCTCTAAATGTCAACATTAGTTTGCAAAAGTTTCACAGAAATATATGATATTGATACGCAAACGTAAGTCGATTATTACATTATATTATATACCAGCTGATGCCCCCTACTCTGACTGCATTGTTTGATATGATACAAACTTTTCCAATATGAATAACGTCATATTATATGAAGACATCGTTATATTTATTTTAATGAGATCTAATTAATTATCTAAGAAATTACATTTTTTTAACAGTGAAACCTTTTTTCGTAACTTTGAGGTTCGTTATTACATAACAGGGAAGCTGTCAACCTGACTGCATTATTGTATTTTTTAAATCAATATTGGCAATATTTAAATGTCATATTTGCAAGTGTACTGAAACAGTCCTGATAAGCGTTAATGAGTTCAGCAAAGTACTTCGCAACAAAGGCTTATATTATAGTGGTATTCGGCCGGCAATTTATCTGATGCCTCCCAGAATATATGGATAATCTGGCAGTTTAAATAATATCACCAGACCGTGGTTGCGCTGCGCACGCTGCATAAGAACATAATAGCTATATGTTTACGTTTAATTAATGGTTTTACCGATATATCTTATAATTAATTTATTAGAATCTCTTTTTTATATTGAAATAAAATATTTTTAAAGAAAGAATAAAAGTAACTGATTATTTTTTTAATCTCTAATTGAATATGACGTCTTTGTATCTGGATCGTAGATAACTGTCTATTATGATGCGATTTTTGTAGCTAAATATTAATAGGATGACTAATATTGTGAAGATTATGATATTAACGAGTCTAGATTAAATTTCCAACATTAAACATTTGTAGACTCGGAGAGTTCACTGTTGCTTAACGATTGTCCTCTAGTTCATTAGATTATAGTTGTAACATCCAGTTTTGTAAATGGTGTTGTTGCAAGAGTCTTATGCTTTTATTTATATTGTTGCAGCTACGACCGTGATCAACCATTCACCTTCCAGTTGGGAGTCGGTCAGGTCATCAAGGGATGGGACCAAGGATTAGTCGACATGTGTGTTGGTAAGCAAACATTACTCTGTAACTTAGCATTAATAACAATTTAAATTATAAAGATATCAATCGATACATCGATTCGATATAAATCAAAGTAAAGGTTTAAAATGAATGGAACAAAACTCAAATTTTTCAGTGATTTTGCAATTGAATGTCACGTTGTTTAAATCCAACATCAATAAAACGTCTGCTACTTTGTGCTATCAGTCATAACGAGCCATACGCTTCTTAGATCTGAGATAAGACCAAGTCAAGCACGAACTTAAGAATAACAAACGGTAAATTTAAGTTATGGAAAGTTCCAAGTTAAGATGGTACTTCAAACTAGGTTAGTGTGCTTTTGAATTGATTTAGTTCACCGTAAGTCTTTGGAATTGGGATAAGACTTTCTCGTTAATGCGTATTACTGATACCATTATTATAAATAAGAAGTAAAATTTTATAGTTAATTAAACTGGCAATTTGAAAAACGTAGTATATTGAATGAATATTATAGAAATTTTTAATTCTGCCGTATATTAGCTGAAAATACCAAATTAAATCATATGTATCTCTTTGTAATATATTATAAAATGTTAAACACATTCACAGTAACATAAAAGAAACATTCCTTTTTTAATTTATGGCTGTCGAGTAAATCAATGTTTAACTAATGATTACATAATAAATATTTTGTCATACTAAATAAAATATTGATAAATAGAAATATTTCATCTCATCACATTTTGTATACCCAACATAAATTTGATCTAAATACTATACTGAATACTTATACAAATAATGAACAATGTAGGCAATGAAATATATTTTAAGTAAATTCTGAAGTCCTTTTTAAATTCTTATAAATGTAATTATATCTTGCAGTCAGTCTATTTACTATGTTATAAACGTCAAAATGGGTGAGATTTTTTTAATTCATTTACCCATGTTCTACTATTACTACCTGGTCAAAATAAAAAGAAAACTATTTCACTTTTAATATGCAATATCTTTACTCTTAAATATTGCAAATTAAAAGTGAAATAGTTTTCGTAAAGTTTTTCATTCATAAATCTTTGTGCATTACATAAATTTAAATAAAAAGCGGAAAACTCTTCCTATTTAATGTGACGATGCAAACTGGCATGCAGACATTCATATAGTCATGAACATCCCGCCAAGTTTGCTAATATACTTTAGAATTGTCAACCGCCCATTCAGTATTGCAACGAATATAAAAATAAACTTAAGTTCTGTAATTATTGTAAAACTGACAACAGCATTGACTTGATACTCTTTTTAAAATAACAGTATGCTAACCGTACTTAACGTTAACAGTTTTAATTCATTAATCTTCGCACATTATAGTGTTAAGGTATGGTGTTAAATGAGAAATAGGAAACCCTTGGCATGCAGTATGACGATGCATACTTTTGATGGATAAGCTTTTTTTCGTTCAAAATCTTTGATTCGGTTGGTGTGTTGGTTTCATTCTATATTTTTATAATGTTCGCGTTGCTATAAAAGTAAGGAACATTTCCAGCTAATAATCAATGGAAGTTCAATGAGTTACACTCCTTAGTTGTATAGACTCCATAAGTTTTAGTAACACTATACATATATTACTTGACAGCTTAATACATAGTAATGCTGTCGGTTCTTTGCTGCTTTAAACGTAATGGAATTAGAAATTTTATAATTTAATCCAAACTGCGATGTCCACTATATCTTTTTCTTTATTTACAAGAACGGCATGCATATGAGGTAGCACCGAAAATCAAACAAAAGGACAATGAAATATAATTATATAGTACCGTTTGGCGGCGCTTGTCAAACTTGGAAATTTTAATTTAAAACTAATTGAACAAAACAAAATTAAAAGCAAATCGTACGTGGAAGTAATTAATTTCATAGTTAAATATAGGACCGCGTAAAATGTTATGTCGAACAGCTAGTTAGAAGTTCGGAACAGTGCGAAGAGAAACAACGAAAATATGTTGAAACCAAATTGTTGCAGTCTGCTGTGGTGACAACTTTATAATTACAAGTAACTCGCTTAGAACACACACAAAACATATTATACATTATAGGAAATATAGTTACTAGCATTTACAAGTTAAAGTTTGCCACGGAATGCGTGTTACAACTTAATTTTGTCATGTGAATTGTTCTTTTGTTATAATACTCTTATAATATTCGTGAGGACTATTGTACTACTTTTTTTATATGATTTTAGCAAAAACGGCCTTTTATAAAACGCGGAAGGTAAAATAGGTTATATACATATAGATACAGATGTTAATATGGTACATACAACATCATATACAACATCATATGCAGTCAATCAAAAAAATTTTTGGTCGTAAAAATTCCATTTGTATTAATAATAATCTTTACATTGGATTCATCAGTTTGATTTTTCATAACCATACTGACCATCTTTCATAACCATCTGACAAATCTGAACATGAAATAATACACATTAAAAAGTTGAATCATGGTTATAATTTTCCTGTCGTTTTAATGATAAACTCAGGTGCAATGTCGGCATGAGCAAACACGGGACAAGTAGTAAAATTCTTTTGAAATGGTTCTTGCTCCTCTGTTTTTTTATTTATATTTAATCAAATGGTTTTAAGTGGAATAAATAGGTGTAATTTTGTGTAATGAAATACTTGTATACTTCAAATAGCACATATAAATGATTTTTTTGAAGTTGAGAAGTAAAGACGCAAAGATGAGCGGGTTTTTATTTTTGGGGTTTCATTTTAAACAGGACTCCTGGCATGAATTATTTTTTCTCCATATTTAATCAGCCACCGCTCAGAATCGAAGTATATATCGAAGTTTTTATGCAGGTGAGAAACGTAAACTTGTTATCCCGGCATCCCTGGGCTACGGTGACCGCGGAGCTGGTAATGTCATCCCTGGAGGCGCAACACTCTTCTTTGACGTAGAACTGATCAACATCGGCGACACACCACCGACAACCAACGTGTTCAAAGAGATTGATGCCGACAAAGACAACATGCTATCACGAGAGGAAGTGAGTATAGACATAGTGTTCCGGGCCATGGACAAGGACGGAGATAGCGAACTGTCTAGGGAAGAGGTCAGTCAGATGATGTTTGTATGGTGAAGGGCCTCTTCCTGTATGCTGTATGGAGTATTAGTTTATTACTATACTAATTGTCAAATATGTTTATGTATTGAACCGTTGTTAATCTATAGTTATCACCTTATACTCATTCTATGTCCTTAGGTACCGGTAGCTGTTTTAACAAAATCTATTTATAGATATCTATGTATGTACAGTAGTGAATAGTTTATCCCTTTCATAGATGTGAGATATTTAATTACTTATGTTGCATGCATATCTTGGATATTAAATATTATATATAAAATAATAATATTATATTATTAAATTGTTAGTATCATTATTTTTTTGTACAATAATGTTTGCGACAAATAATTGAGAGGTAATGAAATTAACGTCGTGTACTAATTTTCTTGCCCAGGTGAGTGACTATTTGAAGAAGCAGATGGTACCACAGGACGGTAGTGAGATGAGCGAAGATGTTAAGCAGATGCTGGAAAGTCACGACAAACTGGTAGAGGAGATCTTCCAACACGAAGACAAGGACAAGAACGGATTCATCAGCCATGAGGAGTTCTCTGGTCCTAAGCATGACGAACTCTAAACTAGTTCTAGACATTTTAGACGCAACGCACATCTAACTCATAGCGGCAGTACCAACCGCCGAAGTCATATTGTTTGTTTGTCTTAAGCTTGGTTATTTAAGCGTCTGTTTTGTTGAATATTTCGTACTTAGTCCACATGTTTTGTTGGAGTCGTGACTTTGTTATAATTAGGTGCAATAATTTTATGTACCATAGAATGTTTGGTTATATTTTTCTTATATAATGTTTTGAATTATATTTTTTTATTTACGTCTGTGAGGAACGTTGCGGTGTATTCATTTCTTAGTTTTCTGTTTAAAGTTAGCGGTTATATGTACTTTTGCGGAGAACATCAAGTGCTTTTAAATACTTTTCTTTCATTATATCTCATCGTTATAACCGCTATTTTCAAATCTCTTGTTTAAAACGAATATTTCGGGTAATTCCATTATATTGGTGAATACTCGCTTTTATTCTAAGTGTAAGTGTATTTCAATTGTCGTCATAATAAACCAGTAATAAATAAAAATTGATTTTATTCAACGATTGTAAAAATAAAATGAATAAACCAATTATAAAATAAATGGCTTTTATTTTACGAAATTTTTCCAGCTTTTTATTATTATTTCAATATGACTGAAACATTATAATTATTATATGACTGTAACTAACATGGAAAATATCACTACTGTTCATTTATACAAAATATTTATTTAATATAATCATGTTACAATATCTTTTAGTATTTTTTAAAGTTTTCGTTAAAAGGTATTGTCAAATATTTTTATAATTACTTTAAAAACTTGATGGCGCTAGAACAATAAAAATGACACAACAGATCAGATTTTGGATTGAGAATTATTGGACAGTTTTATAACGAAAATATAAGCAAAGGGTATTTATAAAAAAATATCTATGTGTTTTAGTTACTATTGGTATAGGAAACGTAGGGGACCGGTTGTGGGCGCTTCAGACCTATTTTATTTATTTATTTTTATTTATTTCTATTATCAAGTAGCAATGACTCATTTAAAAAATAATACATAGATTTAGTAGGTATCCTATAAAGAGGAAAAAATAAGGGTTACATTAATAAAACACAAATATAGGGATAGTTATTTATAAATTACATTTATATTTACAATGTTTAGCACAGATACGGAAATTGTAAAGATGTCACAAAGAAATTTCAGAAAATTAATAATAATGAACATAATTTGCGGGTCACTTGTATATGGAAGTAATTTGTACATCAGAAGAAAGAAATCTGAGGTATATATGAGTAAATTATGAAATACAGTTTTAAGTAAATCAGGTAATATATGAAAAAAATACGCGTCACACATTATTACTGATGAGACAGTAACGAGACGAGAAAAAACTATGTGCACCACGACCAAATCACATCTGGCCGAAATAAGACGAGGCTTAAAACATAAAATATTAGAGGAAGAATTATGATTTTTTTTAATATATTTTATATGGTTCAAATTATACTTCACAGATATACCAACAAACCTTCACAATAAATTGAAATCTTAGTTTATTTGTTCAAGGAGTTTTCACTGCGTAGTTAACATTAGCAGAGATAAATCGCAGTGAAATTTTATACGGGTCCAGGCTTAAAATAGAAAATATTACGTGAGATATGTTGTTTTAGACAATGGTTTATTTATAAAGCTATCTATAAAATAAATGCTGAGCTTAAATTATGATTATAAAATCACTTCAAACCTGAACCCGTGGGATACATACGACAAAAAATTAATATTACAGAAAAAAACTTATTCATTAAAATCAACTCTGCTCACTGTTGCTGAGATTTCATTATAATAAATAACATGATGATAACCTGAAAGAACAGACGTGTGTTTGAATAGTAATACACCAAGCGACAGGAAAGATAAATAAAACAATAAATTATTTTTTTATAGTTCAGTTCAAAAGGGACTAAGTTACATGAAACATTTTTTTAAATTAATTCATTTAAAATTTTAATGCATAAGACTGTTGTTACTTAATACATTTTTAACAACTAATATTTCACGCTACGTTTATTGATAAATCTAATAAATTAAGTAATTAGTAACTAAGGCTTTTCAGAGTGTTTCGGTCTTTTAGAAGTTTTGATAAATAGCCATTAATAGCGCTATATATATACAAACATAATGTATTGCTTTATTTTTAATGTTTTATACGAGTCCATTTGTTTTTATTTTGTGTTATATATCTATGTACTTACAATATAACTAACTAGGCCATGACTGGTGTCCATCGATAGTCCGATTCACTGGAACAATGTACATACATTAAGCCATTTCTTTGTATCTATCAATACAATATGAAACATCCAAACACAATTTGTTACTTAAAATATATATAATCAGGACCATAAATGATCGGAGTGCCGAACATTTCAATCCATAACATATATATTTATTTATAAATATTACATAATATATTACACTTTATATTTTATACGGTTCTTTGAAATGGTTGTTACTCAAAATTGCAATTGCGACTTTAAAATGTTCTAAGTATAACGTGACTCTACTAAGACTAGTATAATTTTAATTTAATGTCTCATTACGTTTAAATTAGTGGTAAAAGTTTCGCTCAGCTGTTGTTAAATATATTACTGTTTAGATGTTACATATACATTATACATGCTGAATGTTTTAATATTAGTTTAAACACTTACAGTACAAAAAAATATAGGAAATTAAAATAAAGCTTGCTTTATACAATTTAGTAATTTATAGCATAATTTTAATTATCTTTTGCGTGATTATTAGTCAGATTATTAAAGAGGTTGAAATTATTTTAAAATTTATACATCAAAATGAATATTGGTACACGCTCACAAAGATGTTAATAATAGGTACAGAATAAATTCGAGTGGACAGTTTAATAAGACTGGAAACTCCGTTTCTATTTAAGTCATATTATGAAATCTTTTCCGCATCCAGAAGCCTGATACAAACTTTACAACAAACTTTTTGTATCATAATGTCGTAAGTTTTACTGTCTATGTTGGGAATAATTTGAGTGAAATTGTATTTATTATTATCAACATCATTTGATATTTATAACCAACTACTATTACTACTATTTCCATTTACTTATTAATGCATTGTACTTAGAATATCAGATTTCTACATTTTTACATTTGCTGTTAGATTATAATATGCTGTAGTATTATTGGATAAACAAGTTTAATTTAAATTTTCAAACTACATATTAATCATAAACAATAAAAAAATTCTACTTTTTAAAGTTGATATCTATAAAACTAGCTGTGAGGAATTTAAGAGATTTTAGATACTGCATTTTAGTTCATGATAAATAAATTAAATTTAAGGGTTAAAAAAAAAACATTTACTTAAAATGTTTTAGTAGAATAGAAAGTTTCATTCTCTTCAGCTTTATATTAACGAACCGAAATACACTTTAATTCGGATAGTATAACTAGCTCCCGACTCCGGACGGGAATTTAATTAAGAAATAGTTGTTGTTGATTTACGAAATGCACTGTAATATTTTATTTATAGGAAAAATGTTGTTGATACCTTAAAAATAACATAACCTCACATCCTGCCCATACCGATATTAAAATAATTTATTACTTGAGTCAAAAACAATTATAAACGTCCATTCGCATTGCATTTTCTTATATGTATAATTTGTTTTAATTTCATCAAGGGATCGTGCAATCGCTTTGCAAACCACACATTATAAAAGAAGTAAAATATCACAGTACGTATCTAGACAAATTGTTTATAATATTAAGTACTGTAAATAAATTAAGGTACAACGAGAAAGCCTGTTATCAGTATAGTGAAAGTTGTAAGTGTAAATAATATAGTTGTGTCAATATGTGCATGTTTTTGTGTTATAGTAAGTATGGCAATGAGCATGTCTGTATACAAACGTTTGATATGAAACATTTGTCTGGTTGTATGTGTGTTACTATATATGTTTATGTGTATACTTACTAGAGTTTCTATCGATGAGCCTGTTTCGGCGACGATCCCTAGCGAGCGGACGTCTCTTAGACGCCGGACAACGTACAAGGCTTTTTATGATTTCTTCGTCAGCTGCCGCGTCGCCACTGTAAGACAAAATAATGTAAGAAGTCAACTCTAAAATTTAAAGCCTTGCTACTTGCTATTTATCATTAATTTGTGTCATCGATGAAGCAATGTATGGTGCTACAATGTTTAATAGCCAGAATATAATTAATGGTATTTTATTTGGCAGCATGAAGTTGTTATTATATTTACTTCAGCACGGGATGTGCGTTACGTCTGATGTGACGATCTGGTCCATCAGCTCGCAGCAGTTCTTTAAGGGCGGTGTCAGCGCAAGCATCGCCCGACTTCCCACTGTAGTTGCCCATCTGGATATTGATTATTAATGTATTACTCATGGATTATTAACATAGTTTGAAACATATTTTCCTTTAGTTTCTTAGAGAGTGGCAGAAAGGATATTTTGTATTTAGAAAAACGTTGACAAAACACTGGATAAATAAAAACTTAACAATTATTCCCCTTGCTTATATACATTTATACAATTATTCAACTTGCTTCCCTTATAAACAAGATCTGATTAATAATAATTGTTTTCTACTTATCTGAACAAAATAATGTAAAATAACAATCTTAAATACGGAATTGTAGGATTCAGAGCTCTTTAACAGTATCTACAAATTTTGTAAAGAATTTGATACTTTATTAAGCAACTTAACATTACATGCTACTATTACATGCTATTAGGCTACTATGACATTCACTAACTACTAGATAGGTTACTAACATCGATAATCATTTTCCCCCTAGTCTTATTCCTCTCTCGATGATTGGCCCTCTTCTCTAGCTGCTGCAAAACTCTCTCTCTGGTGGTCCGGTACTCCAAGGCAAATTCCGAAATCACCTTCAACAGCTCTGAGGGTTTGGAGCGCAGTATGTCATCGGATGCCATCCCCACGTATATCAGAAACATGTTATATCTAGAAAGTAATTAGGTAAAATGAAATATTATTATTAAGTTATCGCATAGCGTTGTAACGCAAGTCTTATTAAATGAAAATATGATTACCTGCTCATAACCCTCTTCTTGATGAGTGATAACAAGATGATCCTCTCGGCGGCATCGGTGAGGAATTCGTTGATCTTCGTCTTGAAAATTTGGGAGCTGTCGTGCTTAGCGACACGTTTCATATGATCCCAGGAAGCTTTGCAGTCTGCTTCTAGTTTCACAAGGTTGGAACTGAGGACTTCGAAGTCAACTTTTGAAGCTCGTATCACGGGACCCACCTGGAACATAGTAAATTAATGTTGAAAAAAACATTTGTACCAAAAGTTCATTACATATTTTGGAAGTTTGTTGATTAAGAAATTTTAAAGATAAAAACCAGACATCAACGGATTTTCAAAAAAACTTTCCTGTAACAACTTGGACATCAGAATAACAAAGAGATGATTATAATTTATATAAAAGTTCTGAATACTTAGGAAGTTGGCAGGAAAAATATATTTAATATGAGATAGCGTGTCACTGACTACAGGTGTTGTCATTTCGCTATCATATAATTTTATATAAGAGTATAATTAATTTATTTCTCCAAACTTCAAACAAATGGAATTTGGGCACATGCATATATCTCACCTCGCTGAAGAAATCTGTTGTATCTGGGAACTTCTCTATTATCATCTCGCAAATGTGGTATAATAGAGGATGTTTGTGAACAGTATCTTTGACCTCCATAACCTTTGAAAGATAATCCAGTCGGAAGCCCTTAACTTGCGTGCCATTTAAAAAACTGCCAACCGACCTCAAGGTTGCAAGGATTACCTTAAAAGTCTTGTTTACTTTAAGCAGTTCAATGCCCTGCTTAAGGTCCATTAGGGGTTCGGCTATCTCTTTCTAAAATTAAAATACAATTATTTTATTATATTTGGATAGCGACTTGTTGAGTTGATTGATGTTATTAGGTTTACCAAAATGACAAGATATCTTAGAAGAACAATAACAAAAAATATCATCGTTATTCATTTCAAAAAATTAAAAGTCATTTTCATAATTCTGAAAGCTTCATATGTATATATAAATATAGTTTTTATTTACTTCCAAATTGTCAAAGTCCAGCTTGAAGACCCACAGCTTGAGCCTCGATGAAAGCTCATTGATGGAAGCGAGGGTGAGAAGGAACTGCTCCGCACTGCCCAGGGGAAGGTCAGGGTTCGCATACTAAAGTTCGCATATATTCTAGTAAGTTCGCAGTAAATTCGCATATATTCTATTTGTAATAATATTCCTTTAAATGAAAGTAATATTTTTCGGATATACTATGCGTGCTACATCCGAAAAATATTAGTCTCATTTAAGTGAATAAAACTCGCGAAAGTCTTAGATCTCATTATGTGATAATATTGGTTAAAAAAAAAAATTGTTGTTTTAGACACATCTCCTTATTTCAATATGAAGTTTATCTTAATAGTAACCAAATGGTTTTATATCATTTATATCAGTTTATTCTCTAGTTCAGTTACCTGTGCTTCCTGAATCTTAACTTTTTCTTCTTGAGTAGGTAGCATGGTCAGTAACTTCTCAATGCCCTCTCTTCCGATGACTGTGGCATCCATCTTCATAATGGCTGCCTTTATTGTTTGGGGTGTTGGTAGTTTTTTCATCGCTATATTTATAGCGTTTGATCGCTTAGCGTCCAATATCAGGTTTCTCTTTGGTTCCATTAGTTTCTAAACATCATATATTTGATTTTAATTTAAATTTTATTATAAAAAAGTTAAACCTTTAGCTTTTGTTGTTATTCTGTTTTGCAAATATTTAACAAACTACATACAAAAATATAGAACGAGATAAGGTGTTTCGTTTTTTTAACTTATTCAATAATTTCAATAAAAAGAAGGTTTAAATTGATGCAATTTAAAGTAATATATGGGTCGAAAATACTTACTTCCTGAAGAGTTTATCCAGATAAGAGAACATGGAAAAAAGAAAAAAATAATACATTATTTATTTTACATAATGAGAAAAATAAACTAAGGTATCTCTTACAGGATATCCTTTTGAATGACTTATTACTCATTACAAAGACAAAATCTAATAAATGTTTTCACTAACCTTTATAATGAGATCATTGGACCTAGATTCGAAAAGATGTTCCAACATGTTTGTATCTAAGGCGACTTGGGGAAGATCGTCCCAAATAGATCCACCAATTTTGGTTTTTACTGGTGCCGGAACAGGTACCTCCTGGATCTCTCTCCAAAACAGTTTCACAGTCTTTTTATTCTTCTTTAAAGTGGAATTAGCTGAGTCTGTCTCAGTTGGAGGGTTTGATGTATTTTTTGGCAAAGTAGGGAAGTTAGTTGGCGGCGGTGGGGGCAGGTTCATGGGAGGTAGCATACTAGGAGGAGGAGGTGGTGGTCCGTTAGAAGCACACACTCGTTGAAGCTGTTGACATTCCATTTCGTCGTCTGTATCGTGTCGTAAATCGGAAAAGTCCAAATCGCATAAGTGAAATTCACGATTTAGACAACCTTTCTTTAACTCCTCCCAGTGTAAATCGTTTTCTGATACTTTAATCTCATGTACCTTTGGAGATTTTTCTATAGTAGGACTTTTTATGATTTCTGAATTAAGACAAAAAATATATATTTTAGACAAAAAAATTATAAAAATAATATTAAAACGTATTATTAATTTCAGAGTTAACATACCTTTTGACTTAGATTTGGCTAATTCCTCTTTGGCTTTTGAAACAATCCCAGCCATATCAGACACTCTGATAGGTTTCTCGTCCGTGGTTGAATTCAAAGGGCTGGTGAGTCTTTGAGCGATATCCTTAATACTGTGTTCTCTATTTAACAGTATCTCCCTGTCATCCTTGGGCTCGGGAATAACATCTATTTGTTTCTGCCGCATTGCAACGAGAGAGTCCGCTGTGTTCACACTATGACCTAGCGTTCCATTTTGTATTCTTTGCTTTAAACCACTAGTAAATCTTTGGTTGCCTGAATAAAACACGATTGATTTTCATTAAAAAGTATGTTACAAGTATATTTTTATAATAGGTTAAGCGATTACAATGGGATGATAGTATGCAAAAATTAGTGGGTTAGAAAAACAAACCATTAACTAAAAGGCTGGGAAGATTCTTCTTATTAAAATCTTCTTCTTCATTTACTGAATTACTGCTTCCATTTATCGTGCTACAGCTATTAGTGTATTTGCTAGACATGAATGAATTCGAGCTGTAACTGCTACGACTTATACTGCTAAAGTTGTAATCACTAGTATCAAAATCGTTATAACTGTATCCGTTGGTGCTTGTGCTTTTCATCAATTCTTGCTGCTGTATTATGTGATGGGCTTGTCTTGCGTATCTGTCCCTTCTTCTTTTGAGGGCTGTACTTAATTCTTTATTTTCTTTTGTATCCAGTATGGATGGCAAGTACTGGGGTCTTTTGGGAGTACTCGTCATAATATTTGGTTCCATCATGACTGGTGAGATTGCTGTTGGTTGTTAGTTATGCAATGGTGAGGCAAAATATAAGTTATGCTAGTTAATTGAACACGTAAAATTAACAGTGATATTATTATGCAATGCATAAATAATGCATGCAGAAAACAAAAACACGTTACAATTTAATTGCTCATACCTTTTTCCCTCTCCTCCTGTTTCTTTGACTTCCTTCTTGTTGTTGTGCTTAGATTATGACTCCTCTGTCGTAAAGATGTTATTACAGATTCATCAAGTTGCCTTAAAAAATAAATTGAAAGCATGTTATTATGAATAATTACTATTTATATGTGTCATATAATTGTGTTATCATTTTATAGACGTACTTGAGGGCTGTACCCGTTTCGTCCCCGTCTTCGTATAGAAGTACAGCTTCGAATATCTGTAACTGACGTAACAAATCTAGGTCCGTGCCTTGCTTAGACATATATAACTGTATAATGTCGTCGATTCCCTGATCCTGCAGGGAATCAACTTGATCATAATACAGATCTCTATCGGGGATATTATTCAAACATCTATTGATTAGAGTCGTCACGTAAATGAGCAACTCGGTGTCAGAAGCATCGAAGTCCTGAAGAATTTTCATCACGTTGTACCATGGTTGTCTCGCGTTGGAAGTATCAACGGCCACGATTGCCTCAATGAAGAGAAGGCAGTTCTTTTCAGTATATTCAACGAAAACTAAGAGGAGTTTGAGGGCTGTCTTGACGACGTGCCTTAATTTGCTAGATATCAGTGAATACAGCCATTGAATGCAGCGCTTGTGATTCATCACACCATGCATTCCATCCACGTAGAGAAGAATCTACAAAATAATGTATTTTTTAGCATTACTTAATAACATATTACTCTTTTAATATACGAATACTTCTTATATGAAATTGTAGTTCTCCAGCTTAAAGTAGTCTTGTAAAAAATCTTAAAGATTACAAACATTTTAATAAATTTAATATATTATTTCATAAATTTACGTACATTTTACTTATTTATTTATAATTATTTTATATATACCTGTCCAAGAGCCCTCAATATATAATCCAAGTAGTTGTGATCTGCCATATTGGCAACTTGCATAAGGCAATCAAGGCCTTTATTAGCGACGAATTCATGTACCAGATCCTTGTCTGATTGCAGGATCTGCTTAAGGGTGAACAATGCCCTGCGGAGTTCCCGACCCTGGGAGTGAAGCAGCCTCTCTAGAAAACGATTACATAATTAAACATTTTAGTATATCATTCCTGATAAAAGATATCCTTGGATAAAGTGATCATTGGTTTATTTTGTTTGGGATAATGCCTTACGTTATACTATTTTGTATATTATACAATTTTCAATTAAAATATTTATTATTCTCATCATATTTAAATGGTGTGACAAGCTACATCACATATCATAATATATAGACATATCTATAAATTGAAAATAAAAGATTTCAGACTTGTAACGTTTCATTAAGAAAAATACATACAAAGAAGTGATTACAATTTATATAATTAACAGTATAGTTTTTATTTAATAAATAAGTAGATATCTATAAAAAGATTTCTTACCAATAATAGCATGTACTCGGACAGAGAGTTGCGTACGTAGCACCAAGGAATTTTTGCGGCTTTAAAAAAGAATGGGTACATTAGAATAACAATCAATAATATTAATGAAAACATACACTCTATATTTGGAAACACAAATACCTAAGGAACGGGGATAAATTTAGGAAGAAGTTTCGGAATTTTTTTGTAGTAATCAACGATTTAAACGATACATTAACTAATAACTGAAGTTTGTTTTGAATCATCATTAAATTTTTAATTAGAGATATATGTATACTGAAATTCTATGTTAAGTCAATATTGCCATACGTTAAGATTTATTTCAAAAGAATCCTTTGATATAAAGAAGACAATTCTTCCTAACCACACTCTTACAATAATAATCTTTACATATGTTCAATTGTACTATATGTGTGTAGGTCACAGAAGTCCTTCCAAACGGCTGGACCGATTTGAAATTTTTTTTCTATGCATTTGCGTGACGCCTCAGACAATTAAATTTCTTATTACATTTTATAAATTTTCGCACATTATAGTACTAACGTAGGTTACTGAATGAGAAACGTGAAATACTTCGTGTGTAGCGTGACATTACAAACTTGGAGTAAAAAAACAGTTTTTGATTTAATTTTAATTTGATTTACCGTTTAAGTGGTTCAAGAGCTTAAATAAATTTAGCAACATAAGTGCCCGAAAACAATGAACCGCATACCTTATTATCACCTTAGCTATATATTTAAACAATTTCATTTACTTATGATAGAAAGACATTTTAAACAAGAAAACAGAAAATGTTAAAGATATCGAAGATCCCTACACATTAATTGCATAAAAGAATATACTGGCACGTACGAGACACTTAATCGAGTAGTTATAGGAAAAAATTGCCTTATTCACTTTGGCAGAAGTTGTTACTCTTAGCCTGTGGGTCTATATTAATCAAAGAAAGCAAGGAATATCAGCAATAAATCTGGCTTTCATACGAAAAAACTGATTGAAATTTCATTCATATAGAACATCACAGAAAGACACACACACACACTTAGTTATGACACCCCTCTTTTTTCATCAAGTGTTTTTGAGCTAAAAATCGAAGGAATTAGTTGAGTGAAGATTCTGGCAGCAGCACAGTTGAATTGAGCAAAACGAAAAAAATATATGAAAGAATTTCGTTATATTGTGTATACGACGTAACTACTACCATAGTTCTAAGATAAAATATTAAGAGGCCAATATTTGCATTTTTATTTATAATAATCAAAACAAGAATAAAAAAGTTTAATTTAAACATTTCTATTGTCTTATTTTTTATGTTTAATAGGAATAAAATAATGAACTTATAAATGTCATATGAATTAAAAATAACTGTAGGTACCATAAGATAATTTTGTAAATTTCTAACAATCCTAGTCACGGGCATTTGAAACGATGTTCTATTAACACTCACTAGTCCTTAATGAAATCTCTCAATGAACAACTCACTCTTCAATATAATCCAAAGCTTCCTGGAAGTCGTCCTCGGAGATGTCATCTTCGGAATCCAGGATGAAGGGATGAGGGATGAGGGAATACTCCACGTCCGCAATCCCTGAATCTAACGATCCCTGCCTGCTGATGTCGCTCACAATAGTGGCTCTATCGACTCTTAGTATCGTATGAGAAATCGCAATCGACTCCATCATATCGTGTGCTACCATCTACAGGTTGATATATCTACGATTTTTATCTAATATTTTTAATATCCGTATTATGTAACAGGTAAATCGTTTAATAAAAATCTATACAACCTTTATATATATTTATACAACGCATTATTTAATTATGACTAGTAAAACGTACGGACTCCCCAGGAATTTGAACTAGCGCTTCCGATGCTAGTTGATTCGCAACTAAACTGTTCCCAATAATTCCGTTCCTTAAATCGTAGCTCGGCCATTTAATGTTACCGCGAACTATGAAAGCCCACTGGCGAAGCTTATTTAAAAATTCGTGTTGTTATTAATTTATAAAACAATGAAAATTTTAAGGAAGTTATAATATTTACATTTTGAACGTCCTGTATAAACGTTCATAGTGCAAGTTCAATGTGAGCTGGTTTTTTGCGATGCATTCGACTTCATTGAGAATGAAATGTGGCTCGAAAAACTTTGTCACGTCAAACACTCACGGTTTCGCTCTCCGATATAGGTTTCCACACTTTCTAATAAAAAAGATAACCCTTCATTTGCATTGCTTTGTTTGACACAAATTCTTATTGACAATAACGAAACTAATATCAAACGATTGCATTTTAATGTATTTTTTTATTCACGTGACCTGATTCTGTTCATTCTTTATTGGGAACAATTTTTTAATATCTTTTCTTGTTTGTGTCACGTCATTCATATGTTTAGTTACTGCGGAATAATTAACTATGCTTCATTATTATTGACGGGGAGGGTTAAGGCCTTGTAAACGGTAAGAATATAAAATTGTATGGGAAATTAACTCGAATCACTGTTTCAAAATAAGGATATAAGACAATGTATGTAGAGATACTTGATGTGAAGAACAGATAAGTGGCCAATTAAATTGTGACACGCCATAGTAATAAGTAAATGTAAAAAAAAAAACGTAGTAGGTGATAATCTATACGGCACATCACGGCTATTGTGTCAGTGATAAAAATGTTAAAACTAAGATTTAATTCTGTTATAGAATTCTCTATTTCGGAGTATTCGAGGAGCGGTGATGTTTACCCGGTTTTATGTAACAGTAACCTAAATAAATGAACATGTGTCGAATTCTAGTGAACTATTTTCGCCCGTTTTAAACTGTGGCGATCTTAGCCTTCGATGGGCTCTGACCTCTATAATACTATTTAAATACTTAATTATTGTAAATAATTAAACTGTTTTAAAAACACGAATAAATGTCACATGAATCATTTAATTTCTCATCAGTCACAACAGTTTTGTGACTAAACAACGCATCGAAATGCTATGAGTTTTATATTTTATGAGTATATCAGTATATTCACGTGGGATAACAGTGCACAGTCGGATGCATCTAGTAAAGGATGCCGTTCATCAATCTTCATAAAAATAATAACCGGCACCCTTCATTCATTCACAATGTTTATCTAACGTAGTATTGACATTAAAATTTACAAGGTAACTTGCTATCTTGCTGATAGAAGCTGTTTTGCTGATAATATTGTTATTTGTTAATATGGTTATGTCTTAAAAATTCATCCGAAAATAGAGTAGTATGGAAAAGAAGGGGATGAAGAGAAGAACAGCGTATGATATTGAATAATGACACGAAAAATTTAGTCAGAAAAAATAATTCTGGTTTGTATGTTTGTATTCAATACCACCTAAGTACAAGGGATTCAGTTAATTTAATTTATTTTAATAACTAGATATATTGAAATACAGAATATTTCCCGACATATATCGTATTTCATATTGTCCTTCAAGAGGCAGTCTCAACAAATTTGTTTAAAGGTTTAAAATTTTCTTAAATAATTATATTTCTAGCAAGCAATACCGAGTTGTTTTGAAAGATCTAATATATATATATATTACTATATAATATATAGTAAGTTAAATTGTATCAATTGTACAATTATTGCTTATAAATTAATGTTTAATCCATTAATTTAAACGGAAATCAGCATATGCGTAACATTAGTATTTTATGAATACATTTAAATGCATTAAAATGTAAAATGTTGGAAGTGACAAATTCTCTTACCTCTCTTGTAATCCTTCCAGTTCTTCATCTTGCTCTCCGAGAGTGGAATCAAGATCCAAATACGGTCCGTAGTCACCGTCTTTGAAAACTTGCAATGTAGCATCGTCCAGCTGCAAACAATACACATTAAAAATTAAATAATAAGTTAAACATTTTGTTTCTTTGTCAATTAAGATAAGCGCCCTCTAGTTACATTAGTAGTTATTATGTTTGTCTCTCGACCTTGCTGCGTGATGTCATTAGGACATGTCAACGCTAGATGGCGTATATACATTTTATATATTGTTAATCTATTAGTGTTACAAGAATATCTATGAAACTAAGTCACCAAAAAAATAATAAATAATTAAAGAAAGAATCAAACATATTTATTGTAACTCAAAAACCTTGTACCATAATAAACATTTAATATAATAAACGTCAATAGCAGAAGGAATACCTTTCATAGCAATAATAATAATAATAGGACTACACTGAACATTCTGTGACATTAACCATTGTTCCTAGTTTTAAATTACAGTTATAAAACAATGACTTCTAGTTAAAGCCGAAGTATTCATTTATTATTATGAATAGCACATATTTTAACTTAAATAGATACGAAGTTAAATATTATAATATTAATTTAATTTAATTAATAATAATATTGACAATATTGACATTTATTACAATATTGCAAGCGTATTAGCTCCGACAAGAAACAAGATGACGACGCTTCAAAACGGGTTTGGTGAATTGTTCCTAGAATATACCTATTATAAGCTAACGGATTCCTTATCGGACTCATAAAACATATCAGAAGTTATTATGAAATAGAAATTTAATTACGTTGTCTTTATTATTTGTTTTTATAAGCATCATCTTATTGCTTTGTATATTAAAACGGGATTACGAAAAAAACTTAGCATTTTGTACTCAAGCAAAATATATTTCCGTGAATATCATGAATTCTTATGTAACGTTTTCTGTAATTATAAAGGTACTTATGTATTTTGGAGAGTTGTGTACGGTGGACAGACCTTTTTAAATCATTCCTACCGTCTGGGAAAAAACCTTTATGTTTCCGCTTCACGGCCCATAACAATAAAGCGATTTGATTCTTACGGATTTCAAAGTAAAAATTTAAATGAATTTGACGTATTCCATTCTGTTTACAATAATTTACTGACATACAACTTAGTTCATCAACACGAGTGGTTAGTGTGAAACGGGAAACGTAAAACGTGCATGACCTATTATCTATTATTGAGTCAGTGTGTCCCAAAAACAGCGTGAGTCAACCAACGGAATTAGATATAAGAATAGTAGACAAGATGTCTTCAGCGAATAAGTCAGTTTACTGGCAAACAGCCACTTTGCATTAATCGCGGAAAATATTAAAGTATACAATGAATTCTTAGTCATTTCAAAACAAATATTAATTTTTATCTAATAAAATTTTTATATCATTCAACCTGTGGGCAAGATAAATCTGTTGTTAAAAATATGCTTGTAGGTATGTGAAAATGCGTTTACAGTAATATAATATTTTATATTACACAATGTAATCGAAGATTAAAACAGTTATCTTCGACGAAGATAAATTTCACATGCATATTGAATTAGGTAAACAATGCATAACTGGCTAAATGATGCCATTTTATACCTAATTTTGCGAATTGCCTACCTAAAATTTTACTTACTCCCACGGTGTAATAACCTAAATTATAGGATTGCTCACCAAAATCGAAAAATGAAATAATTTAACTTGAAATTTTATATGGGAATACACAAAATTGTTGGACAAAACTTTGTAATTAACGAAAATAGTAATAAAAAAGTCAAGAATCATTTGACCACAACCACTCGTTGAGTAAGAATGAATAACTACCTACTATCATATGGGTTGAAAAATATTGTGCATAATTTTGAAAAGCTAAACACATAGGTACTTTAGATAAAATGTACCATTGCAACTGTTGCCTTATAAGTTTATCACCTAATTAAATGTTATATAATAATATTTACTATTATAATATAATTTTGTATCTTTCTAGAAGATTTTTTTAAAATAATTTTTATTACTGTATGTAAATAACTGTTTTATTGTTTATATGTACATGTAATGTCAACTGTATATTTATATATAGTATACACTTATGGTATATGTATAATATGATTATATGATGTACAGCTTAGGAAAAATATATATTATTCATAAAAATATCTTTGAAGTTATGGAATATTTTTCTAGTTATATTACAATAAAGATTTCAATTCAATTTGTGTTAGCACAATTTATTTTTACATCTCGGTGATGTCATATCAATATGGCTTCTAGCTAAGAAACATCTTTATCCGTTTAAGGTTTTACAGTAACACGTCAAGTTTTTACGTAATTATTTCATGTTTGTTTACGTTTATTGTACAAAGAAACATTAAAATATCGTGTTAGATTTATTATTGAATAAATATACATTACTTTTTGTAACCTAAGGAATACTTTAATTATAAACAAATAATATTTAACAAAGAACTGTTTATTATAGTGTTCATAAAATAACCGGATAAAAATTTTATTCAATGTATATAAACTGAATAAAAAATATATACATGTAAATCTACAGAATGTATGTTTTTTTAAAACAAAAAAAAAATTGTGTGTGATCATACATTGACTTACATCATAAAAAATTGATGTAAAAAGCCTAATCAAAATATTTGCTTATGTTGTCCTTCTCTTAATTCTGGGTAATCACCGGAACCCATGAAAAGATTTTAATGAGCTTTTCCCTGGATAATAAAAGGTTTTTAAATGCAATATTTTATGACTAACAGCTATTTTTCTTTCATTTCGTCGCGAATTTTCAACTCGCTAAGAAATATATATTATATTTATTTAAATCAACTAAATCAAATATTTTATGCTAATAGAGAAACATTTCTAATATATTAACATGTAAACATAACATGTGAGATGTAAAACATTGTTTTTTCCGCGAGAGAAGCCGTTGTCCAAAGCTAGTAATATAAGCCATGTGTTGGAGATATATGGTTTTTAAAATGAATCTATTGTCCGTGATACATGTCTGCTAAGGCTACGTACACAACATGATAGAATAAGATATGAAACAGATAATTAAAAGTTTTATTTATAGTAAGTATTCTCATATGTAATCCAATAGCATTGATTAACAAACGACCTAACAAACCATTGATACGTCTAGATTATTTAAAAATAAATCTCTTGGTCTGTTCCCAGCCTAAACATTTTAAATTAAACAATGAGAAGTGTCTGTATTATAGATCCTAAAGATATTTATACAACAAATTACTAAGAACGAAGAGCCATGAACAGCTGCATAACGGAACGGATAAGAAGGTGGGATGCCACGACTGTGTAATTTGTTTACCAAAATTCAAGGTTGCTATAAAAGTATACCCAAATATTTATATAACGTTTTGATCAGAACATGTATCTATGAATTTGGTGTTCGGTTACTATTATTTTTCAAATATTATATAAACATTTTAGCATCTTTTGCCAGTCAACTTACCATAATATTATTCGTAATAAAGTTTTTTGGAAATAATCGAATAGTGAGTGTTATATGAACGGGACCAAATTTACAAAGAGGGAAATTCCAGGACTATACTCTTTTGTTATATCACTTTTAAAATTTTGTTGTCTTTGTTTTTTCGGTCATTCTAACAGGTGAGGATGTTCATTATAAATTAGAATAAAGTAGTGAATATTAATGAAAAGGTGTAACAAAATCGAGTCTATATGATAAAGGTATGTAGAATAATTAATTCACATGTCGTGGTATATTGTTTCGAGACTGGCTCCACGTGGGCGAGCATTCAAATCCTACTCTAAATTATTGTTCCGTATGCAATAATTGCACATTATGTCATCGACTCTCACCTGAACGCAACGCAAATATTTAGAACAGATAATTTTAGACAAATACCAGTGACTTGCACTGACTCCTTAATATGACGCATTTTATAATAATATCACTTACCCTGTGTGGCGCTTGCAGCAAACGATGCACAGCCGCTATTTGGTATGACAGGGGGATGGTCGTGTTGAAGGTGTGGTACAGCGGCCTCGGGGGCTCCCTTACGTTGTAATCCATAAATGGATCCAAATCGTTCAAGTACTGAACTCGACATACGAACGAGTCCGCTCCTATTTCCCTCATAGTGCCGCTAACTCTATTATTATCACCCACTTTCACTAATTCAATCATATTTATTTCCTTAATCACTGTTAATATTTATGAATCACAGTTGGTTTTTTTGTAACATTACATTGTCTTCATAACTTAGGTATACAAAAGGTACTATAACGAAATATAATGAGACATAAAAAAAATTGAATGCACAATAAGTAACACGCGAAGTATCTTTTGAAATTTATGATGGCAAAGATTTGTAAGTTCGGCCAGTGTGCGGACACGTTCGCGAGCCGACTGAAGAACTCATGGTGCAGGAAAACACAAATGGCCTGATGGCTGTTACAAGATAAACGTTGCCAATAAATACAACAAAAGTCATGATTTAAGTTTTGTGGTTTTAAGAAATGTTCGCAGACTGCAATCTTAGATACACAGTTAAGTAATTCTATGCTATTTTATGGGCTCATAATTTGAATAATTAAGAAAACATAACATTATACAGATGCAGCTCTTAACCCTTTAATATTGAAGTTTAAAAACAAATTTTTGTTGAGATATAAGTATAGCTGGATGATTTCTTTGTAAACGGATTGATTTATTAATTTATATTTAATTGATATTAATTTGCTACGTAACAGAAAAACTTGTTTGGCTAATTGGAAAGGACATTATGATTTTTAAAGCCATCCTTTCTAGTAATTATTTATTTAGTTATAATTGTTGCATCTCCACAGTAAAGCAACATCGAGCCGATGCAGACGATCCGGTTTCTTGACCCAGAACCTACTGTCTCTTTCGCACCGTTAAAAAAAATATATACACCATGCACTATTGTATTACAACACACAGTTTGTTTAAAATCAATAAAATAGATTCTAATACATAATTAAGACCACAGCTTATATTACGCGTACCTACAAATTTTTATTTAGATTCGAATATAAAAT